GAGGACCAGGAAAGGTTTATGGATGTCCTGTATAGAACTATTTCTGAGGTTGAAGTGTCATTTCACAGCCACTAAGAAAGGAAAACAAATATAAATAGTACAAAGAGTTAAGGTAGTTATTCATACAAGCTGATGCCAGCCTGGGCCGCACTTCTCTTTTGACAGACCAGGAAGCCAAGGAAATTACTTTCCGGCTAGTGTCCACAGCCTTCCTTCCCACACTGATGTACCCTTGTCTCCTGCAGGGACTGAAATCACATCTACTTCTAAACTGATAGACTACTTCCGTTTCAGAGTCCTCTTAGCTCTATCCTCATCAAAGATGGAAGGCTACATTGCCATGTATTAGTGAAAGACAATGAGGTGAAAAGGAGTTAAGGGACTTCTAAAGCCACCACAATGGGTTTAGCATATACTGAGTGACTACTCTGTTCAAGGAAGGGACCAGAAGAGGCACATCCAGAATATACTGTTACTATCCTGTCTTCTCCTGGCTATGGCTTCTGAAGACCATTGGGTCCTAACTCACTTGTTTGGAGGTCCATATATATGTCTGCCAACTCCCATTTTCCTATTTCACCCACATGTAATCTGGTGAATCGGCAGGGTTTATGCCCGAAAGTCTGTGCTGTTCTCATCATTGCACTCCAGCAACTATGTTTCAGGTATCAGCTGTGTGCTAGACAGTATTTTAAGTACTAAAAAACAATTTATAACCAAAGCAAGGAGTTTTTGAGATGGCTTAGTTGATAAAACACTTTCCATGCAAGTTATGATATGAGTTTGGATCCTTAGGACCATGTAGGAAAAAATGTCTACAGTAGCATATGACTGTAATCACAGTATTCTAGGACAAGACAGGAGATGGAGAAAGGAGAACCCCCCAGAAACTCCTGTGTCAGCTAGCCTCATGTAGGCAGCAGTGAACAAGAGACCTTGTCTCAAACAAGGTAGAAGGTAAGGACCAAAACCTGAGGTTATCTTCTGACCTCTTTAGGAACACAGTAGCACTTATGAATACAACACCCACACCCACACACACACACACACACACACACACACACACACACACACACACACACACGCACGCACATGGGAGTTAAAAATGAAGAGTAAGATAAAGATATTTACCAAATAGTCATAAAATCCTGATGAGTGGAAGCTAGGGGGAAATGGTCTGGGGAAAATAAATGTGATGGCAAGAGTTTAATTGGGATACCCTTGGTTTATGGGACACTGGCAGGGACAGTTGAGGGCAGGGTGAGGGTGGGGTCATGGCTCCATTGTTGAATATTTCTAAACTTCTCATGATCATTAGAGCTGACAACAAAGAATAAGACCCTTTTGTTTATGCCACCACCGCTCTTTACCTGTCCCCTCTAAGGACCTCTCAGTTGTCTCCTTCTACTCTGTGCCATGTCCTAATGCAGGCCAGTGGCTGTATGACTTATGCCCTGGCTTCTGGATATGTAGCCTTTCCTGTTCATCTCATGCCAGCACTCTCCAACATCTCATTGCCATTGCAGACACCCAATTCTCCCTGTTTCTTCAGACACTTGGCATTGTTACATGAATTATTCCTTCAGCCTGAAATACCTATGTCCTCTCTGTTCTTACCAACTCAGAGTTGTTTACCTCTGGAAGGTTTTCATGACTACCATAGACTCCTGCACAGGCAACCCTACCTGCTGGGCTCTCCTTGACCACCATAAACTCCTGCATAGACACCCCTGACTGCTGAATTCTCATTGACCACTGTAGACTCCCACATAGGTGCCCCTGTCTGCTGGGCTCTATGTTGTCAGTGATCATTCCAGATTGTGATTATTTTGTATGAGATTATTAGGATGATTTCTGTTGCACTGCATGAGTGCTCAGTCTGTGCCTTTCTACTATTGTATCCTCGGCACCTAGTACAGTGAGTCCTACCCAGTAAGCACTCAGAGAAAGAACTAAATGGTTCATGAGGACATTGTAGCTGTAAGGATAGTTCTAAGACTTCATAATTCAATTTTCTCAGCATACAGTTGTGAAATTGGAAAATCAGAGAGGGAGGGTGATTTAGCCCTTGTGACACAGCATCTTGGTTTTGCATTCTCATTTCCAATCCTGCATTATCTTCCTAAAGATGTCTCTGTTTTCTACAGCATTACTAGTCTTCTGTATATATATACACATGCTTTCTGTCTCTCCCTCCCCTCCTCTCTACCTCTACCCATCCCTCTTTCCCTCATAGACCTCAGATATCTTCCTCAGTACCTCTCTAACTTAATTCTTGAGACATGATCTCTCATTGAACATAGAACATGCACATTTGGTCAGCCTGGCTACCAGCCAGTGAGCTTCAGGGTTCACCCTATCTTCACCTTGCCAGTTCTGGAAATATAGTCATAAATTACCATGCCCAGCTTTTTTACATGGCTGGAATGGTCAAAATCAAGTCCTCATGCTTGCCTACCAAGTGCTTTATGGGCTGAGCTATCTCCCTAGCTCCCTATTCTTTGAGACCAAGCCCTATAGCTGGACTCACAACATGTTTGGTTAAACAAATTCTCATTAAGCAGACTAGGTTCCACTAGAAACTCTATAGCTCATGAAGTCTGGGTCATACCTGAAATGTATTTGAAATATTTCCTCTAGTTGACTTAAACATTAACTCTCTAATATAGTTGAGCTCTAGATTCCAGGCAGTCAGAACATGTCGGGAAATCAAACCCTCAGCCCTCTTTCCTAAATCACTTCATTAAGTCAGCAATAAACGGAAGCCACATTGTTAACAGTTTATTTGTGCACTCTCATAATGCACAAATCTGCCTCCTTCCCTACCAAGACCCTGGGTGATGCCCTCAGAGACTACAGTGCCGGTGATGGCAGCTGGCAGGGGATGAATGTTTGCGCATCCTCTGCAGGAACTTTTTGCACCTTCTGGGGCGTGACCAGGACACAGCTCCAGAGTGTCAGTTATTTTCCTCTCTGGGAAGCAGTAGCAGCAGTACCTTGTAATGCACTCCATAACCGTGTGTGTGCTTCCAAGTATGGGCAGTGGAGCAAGAGAAAACTAGTGAGTGGCACCCCCCTGGGACTCAGGCAGCAAAGCTGGAAGGTCGTCTGCTTTGTGGAAGAGCCCCAAAAGGAAGGAGGAAGCAGAGTGAAGGTGAAGACCACCTGGAGACTGAGGAGATAGTTTTGAGGGACAAGCATGAGAACCTGACTTCAAATCCTCAGAACCCACATCAAAAGCTGAGTATAGTTATGCATGCTTCTGTAACCTCAGTCACTACAGGAATGGTGGAAACCACAGCAATACTGGGCCTGCTGGCTACCAGCCTAATTCCAGGTTACACGAGGGACTCTGTCTCAAGGAATAGTTTGGAACGTGATCATTCATGACACTGAATATCCTGCATGGGCTCTAAGTATGCACTAGAGTGGGTACTCATACATACCTGTGCATGTCCACCACATACTCCCTCCCCCACTCTTCCTCTCTCTCTTTATCACCATGTTTCTGTGACTACACACTTGAAGCAGGCAGTGGTAGTTATGATGGCCAAGTCACCACCCCTCTGTGGAGCCTTGGTTCCCCATCTACACTCATGCATGCCCAACTTATGGCCCACACATCATATGTGAGTGAGGACAGCTATAAAGACATTCCAACACAGAGTCATAAACTTACTGAAAACTATGAATTCAGGGGATTTATTTTCTTTTTGGAACTTGACTATACAGTTCTTGAGCATTTGTATATGATAACATCATGTCACAATGGCAAAAGGTTGGGTGCACTTTCCAGAGTAGACTGAACCTAACAGCTACATTATTTTTAGTTCACTTTCAGAGCACCATGCACTATCCAGAGACCGGAGATAATTTGAGGAGCATGGATACACTCCTTATACATGTAGAATTGCATGTCACTCAAGGACACAGAAAATTAACACATATTTTCCTGATACTTAATTCCAGTTATGATAAGTATCCTTTAGAGAATAAATGAGATGCATGTAGTGGTTAACATTTAAGTACTGTACGCTAGATACTTAATGACAATAATAACAGCCCCTGTGGCATTTAGGGATCCAGGCACCGTTGTAAGTGCTCTTTTCAAAATGACTCATTTAATTAAAACACCTGTATAGAGTCGGTTATTGCTCTATTTTATAGACAGGGCACTAAAGTTTCGAAGGGGTTCACTTAGCACAGTTCACACAGCCACTGAGCAGCAGAGGCAGAGGAAGCCCTACCCAGTCAAAGCACAGCCTCTGTTCTCTATGAACCTGGCATGAGCTCAATCCTGTGGCCACCGGGTAAGCTCAGTAGTTCTCCCTTCTGTTGTGGTCTCAACTTTCACCGCTTTATTCAGACTGAAGGTATTAAATGAAAAATCCCAGAGCTAAGCAATTCACACACTTTAAATAGCTCTTAGTATAATGTATTGCTATAATTGTTTTCTCACTGGAGTTGGTGCTAGTCTTTTCCAGGCTTATAGATTAAACTTTATCAAAGCAGAACAAACAACACAGTGCAAGTAAGGTGTGATAACGTCTGTGGTTTCAGGCCTTCAGTGAGGGTCATAGGATAAACCTTCACATAATGGGAGCTACTGTACTATTATTTTACTGTTGCTTTAAGATGGGTTAGTATTTTTTCCTTGTGTAAGAAGGGACTTTGAGAGCCCAACCCATGTGAAGGGATGCACTCTCAGCCTGGACACATTGGCGAGGGCTTAGGGGAGGGGAGGGAGTGGGAGGAGGAATTGACATGTGAAGCAAACTTGTTCCTAATTTGAACTAATAAAAAGATTAATTACAAAAAAAAAAAAAAAAAGATTGGGGCATAAGAAAGCATACAAGGGACTTGTTTGAAATCACACAGCAAGGACCTGGTCAGTGAAAATGACCTACACTGGTACATTCTATGATACATGTGAAAGGTACAGTCATTGGCACTGGCCCCTTCTTGGCTGACCCCATCTTTCTTGGCCCTCTCTTGCTCAGGTGTTTCTCAAGAGTGACCGTGTGGCCCGCATGGTGCAGAGTGGTGGTTGCTCAGCCAATGACTCTCGGGAGGTCTTCAAGAAACACATTGAGAAGAGGGTTCGCAGCCTTCCTGAGATTGACGGGCTCAGCAAGGAGACGGTGCTGAGCTCCTGGATGGCCAAGTTTGACGCCATCTATCGTGGTGAGGAGGACCCCAGGAAGCAACAAGCCCGGATGACAGCCAGTGCAGCTTCTGAGTTGATTCTGAGCAAGGAACAACTCTATGAGATGTTCCAGAACATCCTTGGTATCAAGAAGTTTGAACATCAACTCCTGTATAATGCCTGTCAGGTAGGTGCCTCTTCCTTGAGCCTTGAGCTATGGGTCAAGCAGACCCAATATGACTTTTCTGGGTCACTTTTTGATGGAAAAACATTAAAGATAATATTTTATACATGTGCTGATGAAAGATTGACTTTGTTGAAGACTAGATTATAATTGTGGTTTTATAAGACGTTCAAAGACCCTGAAATATTCATGTGAGCCTTCAACTGGCTCCTGGTCTCATGGATCCTAGGACTGGCCTCATTGTGGCTAGGTTGGGGTAAGTAGGCCCTATGAGAATGGACCTTAGAGTAAAAAAGAGCTAACAATCTACAGTATGACTTTATTACAAAGTTAGTTCTGTCCGAAAGTGGGTAGATTGTTCAGGATGAGACATTACTGTATCTCCAGCTAAGAAGAGAGCTAGTAGACCCAAAGCCTGGGTGTCCAGTATGATTGGCACAGAAATGCTGCTCAAGTTTGAGTTGAATCATAGCTCAATTCAGTCACATCATGAATTTCTGAGTGCATCAGAGTGAGAGATGGACCTTGGGTTCTGCTCAATATTACTCCACATAGGCCTGCATTTCCCCCTGGATGGAGGCTCAGAGAACACACTATGGGAGACTATGATTTCATACACACCCATCTGGTGCTATCTATTCCCTCAGCAAATATTCACATGATTTTGAGCTATTCTCTGTGTGATACTTGACAGCATGTTTAAAACGCATATTACAGTTATAGCCCCAGAGAGTTTTAACCTGCTGCCAGCCCAGGAATTTGAGTTTCAAACAAAGACATCTCTTCCAGGTAACTATGTTGTACCATTCCCCACTGAGAGCAGTCAGAATATAGTAACCTTGCTCTGGTTCTTCTGGATCAACACTAAGCCCTGCACAGGTTAAAGGGAAACCCTGTAATGGATTAGCCAAGGCCTTGCTGTGCTCAGACTTGCAGAACCTGAGGAAACTCTCTTCTGACCTCTCACTAGTTTTGAGGCCTTGGGTTTGGGGACCCCCTCCATGTTGATTTAAAATTATACAGAGTTAAACATTGATTGAACCTTATGATGGTATGCATTTCATGCATCAAGAGTTAAAGAACACATCCTCTTTTTTATTTGAATTAGAAACAAGATTGTTTTACATGTCAATCCCACGTCCCTCTCCCTCCCCTCCTCCCCTACCACCACCCCCACAACTTAAACCCTACCTATCACATATCCTTTCTGCTCCCCCAGAGGGTGAGGCCTTCCATGGGGGGTCATACAGTCTATCATATCCTTTGGGATAGGACCTAGGCACACCCCTGTCTGTCTTGGCTCAAGGAGTATCCCTGTATGTGGATTGGGCTCCCAAAGTCCACATCTATGCTAGTGATAAGTACTGAACAGGAGGTCCCATAGATTTCCGAGTTCTCCTCACTGAAATCCATGTTTCTGGGGTCTGGATCAGTCCCATGCTGGTATCCCAGCTAACAGTCTGGGGGAACACATCCCATTTTAAAGTCTGCATTAGCTATTGCAAGGTCAAAAATGGTACTCTCAAAGCAGCCATGCACTTAGCCTTGTTTTTTATGGACAGAAGGAAGGGAGCAGTAGAGAGTTGATGGTGCTTATCTTTAGGAGAAACATGGGGTTTGGTTTTTACATTTCCCATTTGTACTTTTCTACATTTCTAAACTGTCTGGAGTATATATCTGTTTTATAGATAGAAACAAATAACAAACATGTTGGCAAATAAGTGGTGAAAACAACAGGAAGAGGAGAAAATGACCTTCTGAACCATTTCTAGTCTTCAGCTGTTAATACTGAGTCTTCGTTCCCTTGCCATTTCCAAGGTTTTCCTGTGTGACTATTTGTTATTTCTTATTATATCTACTCAAATTCACTTTCTTTCTTAGCTCATCTTTACCTTACGGAGTAATACATGTGAAGCTCCAACTTTGATGTTCTAGTTTTTCTTCTTTAAAAATATGCTGATGGAAGTGAAACACAGCTATTAAAATAGAAACCCATCACCACTAAGCCCTCTTAGGTCATTTCACAGCACTGGGGATGAGCAAGACCAGCCAGTGCTCTGACATATTGAGAGTGGGGGACAGTCTCTAATGCCACCCCACCAAAATAATGCCACATTGACTACAGCAGCTTCCACTTAATGTATCCCTGAGCTTTCCACAAGGGATGGATAATATTTACCCTCTCCCCCACTGCCTGGTAGGGTACATAGGCTTCGCAGAGTGAACACTGGACTTCTCCGAGCCCTGGGTACCAAGAGTCTCAGATGAACAATTCATACCCCCTGTTTTTCAGAGTGCACTTCACTTTGCAAAACACTGCCAGTACTTGAGAGGGAGGATATGGAATTGAGTTGATTTCATCCTCAACCCAGCGACATTTTTTTGTTGTTTAATTGTCCATGCCTTTGTGCCTTACAAGACAAGTAATTCCTAGGTGCTTCCAAAGGAGAAAGTTTATGTAGCATTTTCCTCATGTGCACAGCACTTCTCAGGGAAAGCTGCCATCTGCTTTCAGGAGCTGATTTTTGTTCCGGGGATGTCCCTCTCTGAGAAGCTGCTAGTGACTGTCAGTCTCCTCTTAAAGGAGAGATGCAATTTATGAAAGAGTAATTATATCAATTCTGAATCAGATGTCTATTGTAGCATGTGCTGTCTGTCAAAACACAAGAACAAAGTGGGGAGCCATCCCAAATCTCTCTATTTGCATATGGAATTGTTTAATGGTCCATTTTGTGTGAGAATGTGTGGATTGATCTCAGAAAAAATTGCTCATACCCCATCTAATACCATTGTAAAAGCATTGACAACCCATTATGATGTCAGTATTGCTTTCACTTTTCATAGTGCTAGGGAAACACCCACCCAATCATTTCTGTTGGATTCCTACACTAATTCACAAACCTATCTCTCTTGAGAACAATTGTGTCATTCAGGAAATGAAACGAAGACTGTCCTACTGCTCCTTCATGAAATCCAGGGTTGGGACTGGTCATAATGACATAGTCCTGAAAGTATTTTGTAGATACAAACACCCTCCCCTTTCTCTCATTTGTTATTTTATTGCCAGTTGATCAGCCTTTTGTTATACTTGTGTTTAACATTACAAGTTATTATTAATTCCATCATCCTAAAGTGTGTGAACATTTCTCTTGAAAAGCACATTGTAGGGTCTAGTGAGATGACTCCATCTTACAGTGCTTCCTAAAGAAGCATGCAAACTAACCCAGTATGAGTGTAAGGAAAGCAAGGTGGTATGCAATTGTACTCTAGCCCTGAGCAGGTGGAGACAGGAGGATCCCTGGAGCTCACTGGCAAACCAATATAGCCTAAGTTTTGATTCCCAAGTCCTCAGAGAGACCTTGTCTCAACTAACAAGGTAGAGAGCACCTGAGAAACAACACCAAAGTTTACCTCTGACCCCTGCATATGGACATACCCACACAAACATGTACCCATAAACACTCAGGCATGAAATCAATCTCTCTGCCTCTCTCTCACACACACACACTTGCACACTCTCTTGCACACACACATTCTCTTACACATGCACACTCATTCTCTCTTACATATGTGTGCATGAACAGGCACACACACACACACACACACACACACACACACATACATGTTCACATAATAAGAAGAAAAATACCATAGAGTTATGTGCCTGTGTTTTAGAAGAAACAATGGTACACTCTTACACGTGCACTGATGTTGAAGGGATATGGGTGATAGGAAAGATGTTTCCTTTGGTTTCAGTTCTTTGAAAAGTGCCATACCGATCATATGTTAACAGTGGAACCACCAACAGCCCCTTCTTACTTTCTCCAGAGCCAGTGTCTGTGCCGGGTGGGAAGTGTGGAACCAGTGTCTGTGCCCAATGGGCAGTGTGAAGCCAGAGTCTGTGCCCAGTGGGCAGTGTGAATGAAATGAATGTTCCCACTCTCAGGAGATGACATTGGCCACCTGTAAATTTCTAGAATATTTTCAGATAAACCTAGAAGACTCATAGAATGTGATTTCTCATTCTATAAATACCTTTGTATTTCTAATACTGAGTTCTTCATCACTATAAAATTCTAATTCTCTTAACATTTCATTTCCTTCAAACCACCATGCCTTTGATGGTGAAGTTTATCTTATTGCTATCTACCTTGGACTTGATGAACACTTTGCAGCTTTTCACATAGTTTATTAGACTCTGAAGAGAAACCTTAAATTATTAGGCTTTCAGCTGTGACCCAGATTGCTGGCTTGTATCATACCTCATTACAGAGCCCTTAACCGCCACATAACTGCATAGCTTCTTCCTGGGTCACAAGTTCCAAAAGATGTGTTGACTGAAAATTTGCTTCTTGGTTTTAACTCTATTTCTTAATTGCTATTTTTAACCCTCTAACTATGATAAAGTTCTTTGTGTATATATATGGTCTTACCATAAATATTTGTTGAGATAGTTTAAAATCTTGGACTAGGCTATTGTAATGGTAGTTTAGTAATGCTATTTAGAAATATACTTTTATTACTTATTGCCTGAACAGACTTTAAAAGCATTGGATTGTGAAGCCAGCATAATATGTTTCTTTGTTTGGTTTTTCTTTTTATTTAAATTAGAAACAAGCTTGTTTTACATGTCAATCCCAGTTTCCTCTCCTTCCCTTCCTCCCCTGTCCCCCACCGGCCCCCTATCCCATGCCCTTTCTGCTCCCCAGGGAGGGTGAGGTCTTCCATGGGGGAATCTTCAAAGTCTGTCATTCATTTGGAGCAGGGCCTAGACCCTCCCCCATGTGTCTAGGCTGACAGAGTATCCCTCTATGTGGAGTAGGCTCCCAAAGTCCATTCATGTACAAGGGATAAATACTGATCCACTACCAGAGGCCCCATAGATTAACCAGACCTCCAAACTGACATCCAAGTTCAGGGGTCTGGAACAGTCCCATGCTGGTTTCCCAGCTATCACTCTGGGTTCTATGAGCTTCCCCTTGTTCAGGTCAGTTGTTTCTGTG